AAAGTTGTCATTCAAGTCTATATTCCTCATTGAAGGCTGCCTTGATGATGAAGCTGAGGAAGGAGACGATCTCTGCTTGCCATTACGGTGATGATAAGGGGATTTTTTATCCATCCTCCAGTCTGGTGATGGGGCATCTTCATTTTCATCAACACGATTCAAGTCCAGCTTGAGTCTCTCTGCCCTTCTTGAACTCACTTCAATGGATGATTCCCCGGAAAGAAGGCCAGGAGATACTGACATTTGTTTCATCAGTGTTGTATCAGTGACCTCATCGTCAACTTCAGCCATGTTCTGATCAATATCAACAACATCCTAACATCCTGCCTCTGTTTCCCTCGATAAAGGTTGTCTTCTCACCATCCAAAGTCCTGTGGGGAGATGGTGGGCGGAAAGCACATCCTAGTGCCCCCTCTACAGAGGAGTCACCAAGTAATGCGAAGCATGGGATCAAGTTGGAAACAAATGTCCACAGTAGCATGGACCTGTCCATGAGAAATAACCACAGATGATATTTTGGCCTGTGGTGTAGACTAATCCACGATATAGTGTGGTTTGATCCACACCACAGTGCAACCGAACTATAGGTTTTGGCGTTGCGCATTTCTTAATGTAATTTATCGTGGTGCATCCACACCACCGAACACCACCTAAAAGGAAACTTGGGTACATATAAAACAGAAGACAAAGAGATGTAGTGTCAACATTACCAACACCATAAATGGGGGAAGTAGAGCCATTGGCTAGGGTAACAGTATGTGATGTGGAGGTCTGAGAAAGAGAGGAAAACACACCTGGAGTCCCGATCATGTGATCAGAGGCTCCAAAGTGAATTATCCAAGGGAAGATTTTTATGTCAAGCAAGCCATACCTAAATGAGCAATGGTGACAGTATTCTGATGTGAAGTAGCCTAAAGGAATATCTCATACTCATCATCTCCTTTCTAGAAGTAGTTGTGACTGTAGAAGGTGTTGGATCAATTGGTTGATTATCATTGACTTCACTACCACCAATAGTTGCATGATGCCCATGCGGAGGGTGGTCCATGCAGATCATAATAGAAGTTAACCGTGCGTCCTTCTCTTCCACAGTGTGTACATTTCCTAGTAGTGCTAACTCTTCCTCTGCCACAACCTCCCCCTGAATCACGACCTCCACCATTGCTACGACCAAACATAGGGTTACCACGCCCCCCCCCCCCTGGGAATTGTACGACCACCTCCTCTGCTTCCATAAGCTCCTCCTCGAGTTCCAACAAGTGCTGATCTGTCAGGAGGTATGGTACTCTCTGTGGGACCAAGAGAGATCCTATGGAGACAGGCAAGCACTTCCTCTAGAGTAGGGAGGGCAGATCCACCTAATACCTGTGCTATGACCAGTGATTTAAAAGACGTGCGCCTGATGCGCTCGCTCACAGAAGCTCCAAGAACCCCCAATTTGGTAATGTTGTTCATTCATTCATCCTAATAAAATGTCTTCTTAAAAAGCAATTAAAACTATAAAATCATTGTTTTTTGTGTGAAAAATAAGAATTTAAGACCTAACATGGACTTGTTTGGGCTTTCCTCGAGGGGCATGGCACAAAGGCGGCATGTAGAATCAGGAATGTAATATGTTTTACATTACATTAGCTACTTGAAGTAATGCAATTGAGTGAAAAAAGAGATTAGAGGGTTTACATGTTTGAAAATGTTTTATATGTTTGATTTTATTTTTAAATTCTCATTTGAATATGCTTTACATCTTATGTTTATGTATTTTAATTTTAGATAATAAGTGTTTTAAAACATTATTTTAAAATTTAAGTTTATGTTTTTTATTAATATTATGTTTAATATTTTTTATTTTTTTTATCTTTTTGAATTTTCCGACTTTTTTTTTTATTTTTTAGCACTTTTTTTTTTTTGTATTTTTGCGCCTTGCTTCAAAAAGGTGCATGCCTCGCCTTGCACCTCAGGCGCAAATTGACCCCTGCGGCTTTTTTGCGCCTTGTGCTTTTAAAACACTAGCTCTGACAAGTTCATACTCTGATTTCAGCCACACTAAGAACTGGGTAACATCAAGTTGCTCCCTTTGTTGTTGCTGAATTTTGACATCCGGAGTTAAGGGATGATAGACATTAAGTTCATTCCGAAGATTTCTCATACTGGCATAATATTCTTCAAGGGTCTGATTTCTCTAAGAACATGAAGTTAACGCTGATTTTAGGTTCCATGCTGTTCCACAACCACGTCATGATTTGAGCACCCTCTTGCTCCCAATCATTAAAACCCGGAGATTCAGCAGTGGGTTTCTCCTCCCACACATGTTTTACTTAACCTTAAGAAACACTTCCACCGACTTGGCCCATGGCACATAGTTTTCACTGTTGAGTTTGATGGATGTCATCTGAACACTTCAAAATCAGAGGAAATCATCACACTCGATTTCTGGTCACTACTAACATCTCCCATTGATGCCATTTCAATTTACAAAACTGGTTCTGCCCATCGAAAAAAAATATATATCAGTCCCAAACACTTGACTATTGTTCTTTGAATACTACACCAACACACTCACTACCGTACAGTGTCTCCTCATCCAATCACCATGATCTTGCCTGAGCACATATTTGGCCACTTATGTTAACAAACGAATTCATAACCACCATAAAAAAATATCCCTCTTGAAACTGCTCAATAGAGGGTTCAGACCACCATGACTACAACCACACGACCACCAAGGCTGTCACGCATGGTGACAGCAGTCCAGAAATTTTCTACTAGGGTTGCCGTACTCCCCCCTTCACCTGTAACTAGGCCATCATAACCCTAGGAACACCTGAGTAGGTTGTCGCAGACTTTTGGGAATTGCCGCAGACCAGAAAAAAAATAAAAAATAAAAGAAAGAAAGAGGAAAGAGGAACTGATCGAATGAAGCTGTAGTCTCCCTATCTCCTTTTTATCGCCGCTCTGATACCATGTAAGAATAGTTCAGTCGAACTAGTTTCAGAGATAGAGGAGAGAAAGAGAGGAGAGAATGAAGAAGAGAGGAGAAAGAAGTGTCAAACTGAGAAGTCAAAAGGACTCACCCAGCCAACCATATATTTATATATCATAAACAATTTACAAAGTCAAATATGCCCCTACTTAAGTATGGGACATGTAATTAACATAATACTCAAACAGAAAAGACTGAAATGCCCTTCCCTAGCCGACTCTAACAAAGATTATCATGCCTTCCGCTGTACGTTGGAAGCATGGTAAGAAAGGAATCTTGGCTTCAAGCTAAAGAAAGATCAACGAGGTGGATCTGTGCACATGCAAATTCCTTCACATGGATTGGATTCTGGTGCTATGTGACGACCTGGATAGAATTTCATTGAGGGGATTTCTAGTCTACTCTTTTATGTTCTTTTCCTCCTTTTCTAATACTTTTTTCTTTATTGCTAAGTAAACACTAATATCATGATGATTCTCCAAAACATAAGGAAGGTCCCTGCCCCTCCAAAATTTGGACTTTCTGTTGGTAGGTGGCTTAGAAGAAAATCATCACTTATAATTTGCTTACAAGAGCAATAGTTCATGCTTATCCCTTGTGCCTCTCCTATGTATGGAAAGTGGAACACCAGTAAATCACCTATTACTCCACTGCAGACATAGATCTGAAACCGTTTCTCTGAGCTCTTTGATGTCCATCCCACCTCCTTTTCAAGACATATGGGACATTCTTGACTTCCTTGGAACATGGCATAATTCCTACCTTAAAGGCTGCTTGGGGTCTTTGGGAAGAAAGAACTTCTAGCACAAAGAGAAGCCTCGCAACATATTTTAAAGTATAGCAATTTTTTTGAGTTTAAAAGTTGAGAGTTTGTATGACCATTTTCACTGGGTGAATCTCCAATACAAGGTGGATTATAGGACTAATTTGCACTGCAGGAGTTGAAAACACATAAAGTAAGATTTTATGGAACCCAAGGTGTGGTTTCTTAAAGAGATGCCTCTAAAACCCATCTCCAATTCCTTTGTTCAGGAATGTAAACATTCTATTAGAAAATCGAAAAGAGAATACAAGTGGTATATTGAAGGGATAAGACGAGAGGAAAAATAAAAATAACCCCTAAAGTTCTGGTCCCCAAAGGACTCCAATAACATAACTTTATAGACTCAATTCCAAGTACATAATGTACAGCATACAAAAGGATGATTACAACTTAAGAATCTCCAGTTGGGGAGGGGGTGGCAACAGTGAAAGTATTGGTTTTTAAGAAGGTAAGTATCATTTTACCATGCTAAAAGGAGTGATATACAAATCAGATTATGTACATCAAGGGAATCTACAAAAGTGCCATGCCACCACCAAGGTCCACCACCCCAAAAAAGAGCTATTCTTAGAATCGCCTGAATACCTTTCTAACAGCCAGTCAAAAGTGAATCACCCTTGTAACTTTCTTAGAACAGCATCCTGAGAAGCAATTTTGTTCTGGAATATGAATGCATTTCTTTCTTATGGGACTAGCCAAAAGATTGCAAAAAGGATAATATTTTGCAATTCCTTTTCCCCATTTCTTAGACCATAAACCTGCCGGCAACTCAGAGTATCTTCGGTGGACCTAGGGAAGCATTGGCTGTTTAGAAAGATTCCCAAGAAATGAACCCACTTTTGTGTGCTGAATTTACAGTGCATAAATAAGTAGTTTCCATCTATATTCTCATTGGAGCAAGGAACTCAAAAGGAGCTAGACATATAAGCTCCTCGTAAAAGTATTGTTTCATGTACTAAACAAAATGATAACTTTTAAGTAAAAAGCACCAAGGCTCAAAATAGAAAAAACAAATTTGGGGCTTCTCCAGTATTGTCAATCTGGGATATTGTCATATTTTGGAGTGTGGATTTACCATTTCCTGATAATATTGATTGGTCTGGCAAGTATTTGAATGTTAATCTGATCTGAAGAATTTTTTTATTTCTTCTGTTGCTTAGAATGCGTTTTTTGAACTTTGATATTTTCTATGTTCAGATTTTTTACCTGTTTGATGTCAAGAAAAAGGGAGTCATTGATTTTGGAGACTTTGTACGAGCACTCACTGTTTTCCATCCTAATGCTCCACAAGAAGACAAAATAAACTGTAAGTTTCTAGGAGCTAGTAATTGACCTTAAATTTCCAAAGCTAGAAATGTCAACGCCACATCTAATATCAAATTTAATATGCCATTGTAGTTTCATTCAAGCTTTATGATTTAGATGGCACAGGATTCATTGAACGCCAGGAGGTCAGTTGAACTTTTTATTATTTATATTTAATTTATTGGGTGACGTTTCATGAATTGTATGAAATAAGTGCCATGAGGACCGAGGTTCAAAATATTGATATGACATGCTGTGCATCAGGTTTGAACCTTACTTTTTTCAGTCAAACAAAACTTTGCATATCAACAGTATTGATAGTTTGAACCTTGATGAGGGCACAATTTTATTTTCTATCTACATAAAAAATGTCTATGCCTCTGCAAGAGATGTCTTGCCATCTCATTACAGGTTTTGCTCCATCTTACAAAATCTATTTTGATTAAAACTTCTCATATATTTTTAAAAGCTCAATCTATTTTATATCTATTTTTTTTTTCTTTTCCTGAAACCAAAGCAATGGATGTATCTTGTTAACTATGTTTTTATCTCTTTCTTAACTTGTTAACTATCTTTTTTTTTGTTTTTTGTAAATCCTATTTAGATATGAGGTGTTTTTTTATTGTAACATCGATGCTTTGCCATTGTTATTGATTTGTCAGTTCAGATAGTAAAACTCAAGATCACACCTATACAAGCTTGAAAAATACCCAACAACAAAAGCCTCTCTTGTTACTACCAATACTTACGTACATATTGAGGTTTTCTGTTCATTTACTTAGGCCATGTTTGGGAGTGCTTACCTGGGCTGGGGTCACACCATTAAGCACTTATTGGTATTTGGAAAATAAGCCCGAAATAAGTGCTTATTTTAAAAATAAGGGCTTATTTTTTAAACCCAAATTTCCAGCTTTTTTTAGTACTTATACAATAAGCACTTATTCAATTTTTTTTCTTCCAAAATTATCCCTAGTTGAATTTTAAAATACCACTTATAAAATTATCCCTAATTGAATTTTATAAAAGTACTTTTATAAAAGTGTTTTCATAAAAGTGCTTTTATAAAAGTGCTTTTATAAAAGTGCTTTCATAAAAGTACTTTCATAAAAGTATTTTAATAAAAGTACTTTCATAAGGGTATATTTTAAAATTTTGAAAGAAAATGAAGGACAAAATAGTCACAAATGCTTATTGGAGAAAAAGACTACCAAACACCCAATATGAAATAAGTGCTTATTTTTTAAAATAAGCACTTGAAAAAGTTGGGTGCCAAATGCAAATAAGTACTCATTCGAATAAGCACTTGTTTTTAACATAAGCACTCCCAAACATGGCCTTGTTCCTTTTTTTTTGTTCTTTTCCTTATTTTGGAATGATCTTGGGTTTCTATCCAGTAACAAGTGTTTTAATTCTTCTTCCCATCTTTTTCCAAAAATGTATGACAAGGAGAATACATGCCACATTATCCCTATTGTGAAATTTTATTGATTCAGTATTAATATCTTTTTAATCTCCTTATCAGTTTATTTATTTATTTTTATTTTTTGAACGTGGTTTTGGCAGGTCAAGCAAATGTTGATTGCACTTCTCTGTGAAACAGAAATGAGGTTGGCTGATGAGACCATTGAAGCCATACTTGATAAGGTGCATTGTTACCGCAGAAATGCTAGTAATCTACCAATTGTATTAGTGTTCCATGTTTTTAATGAAATCTTGGAAACCAATCCCTTAGCACTATTCTAATTGATGGACTATACTATTGCCCAAATATATGAATTGTGATCTTATAATTGAACATTCAAGAAGACTTAAGGTGGATTAGGCAGCTCACTCCAAGGAAAACAAAGTTCAAATTGAGTGAATGCTTACTCTGTTTATTTCATATGTTTAAGCATGATATTATCTGTGCAACTTTGTCCAGGACAATTAGGTTTGCATTGGATTGATGATTAGGTTAGGTTTAGGGTTGACCCTAAGCTGACCTAACCCAGCCAGATTTGCTTCCCTACATAAAAAATTCAGTCAATTAGTTGGTCCAGGTGAATGGGCATATGGCACATACCATGTAGAAATGTTTTAAGAATGAATATGGGGCTATGTGTTTTTCCCTCACTGCAACTAAACTTTAGTTTATATGCCATGGGTATCTGATGATATTTGAACAAATACCAATCACTGGTTTGTCCAGGTGAACTAGAATATATACTGTAGGGAACCAGGAAATATTGTACCAACACAGGTTTAGGGTTGTTGACTTCTAGTGTTTCCATTCTCTTTATTTGTTTGGAGAAGAGGTTGGGTCATGGGTGGGAGGGGGGGGTAGCCTTGTTTACTGAGCTCAAAGATTTTGTTGGCAGACATTCTTGGATGCTGATGTAAATCAGGATGGGAAGATTGACATATCCGAATGGCAGAGTTTTGTTTCTCGTAACCCATCATTGATGAAAATTATGACCCTTCCATATCTCCGGTAAGTTTGATGCTATCTCAATTTCATTACAACAATAACATTCAGTTTCTTCCTAAATTCACTGTAATCTTATTATATTTTCTGCGATAAAATATGCAGGGATATAACGACAACTTTTCCAAGTTTTGTGTTTAACTCAGAAGTTGACGAGTTTGCTACATGAGTGCCTACTACCATCTATCTATACTTCATCTACAGAGAAACTATGGATGTTCTTCTGACTCAACTTAGACAAAAGGCTGAGAATATTAGTGATAGATAAGGTTCAGTCCCACCTAATCTACCCACTAAGGGTAAAAGAAAAGTCTTTTCTTTTTTGACATTAGTAAAGGTGCAGATGTTGTCTTTATGAGCGTAGGTCACAATTAACTGACAAGCTATTTGTGCTAATTGTCATCAATTAATTAATTGTAAAGCTATTTGTGCTAACTGTTCATAGTTAGTTCTATCAATCCATCTATTATTGTTTTCTTAGGGTTGCAATGATACTTCAATCTACTCTCTGATAAGCCCCAAGTCAAATTTGGTACTTTAATCAGATAAAAAACTGCAGAGATCATAAAATCCTAAAAGCTTTACCCTCTTCAGAGAGCAGAAAGGTCCGAAGCCGAAACCTTGTGCTCAAAGTTCAATTCGTGATCCTACAGTAATAAGATGAGCTGCACGACGTTCATCCCGCTTGCTGTTCTGTTTAGATTTTAGAATGTATAAGCTTTATTTTTTTGGTAATGCAGTTAAGAATGTATAAGCTGCTATTACTAATTTCATCCCTAGGGTTAGACTTGTCACCTGCTTCGTTGAGTAAATTTCCAATGTAGTACTTGTGAGGTTGTGATCTGTGCGGTTACCAATCTCCCAAATTCCAAATTTCCAATGTAGAGTCTGAAAAACATCTTTTTTGTTTTTCTAACTCCAGAAACAGTCATACTTATACCTTCCAAATAATATATAATTTTTTATTATATTAATATTTAAACTTAAGGAAATAAAAACTACACATAAAATTTTGATGGCTAGAACTTAGATGCGTGTATATGTATGCATGTAGGTATGAATCTAGATTTGCTGAGTACCAAATACGCAAATATCTGGCATTTTCAAATAAGAAAACTGCATCCAAAGCTTTTGAGATATGACCAAAACCACCCCCTGGTAAGTTCTGATATATTATTATTTTCTTCATAGTTTTTATCTATTATTGGTTAGTTTATAATTTAGTACAGAGTCAAGGAGATTAGGATTCTTATGCCTCAAATCAAGGGGTAAAATTGGCAAATGAGGGTGCAGAAATTATAGCGTTAAACAAAAGGATGAACTAGTGAAAATTTGAGATGTTCAACTTGACATTTTGTTGTAAAAGTCCCTACGTTGATTGGTAAGTGTAACTTGTAAAATAAGAAAAAATAGAAAATAAATAGATCATGTGATGTATATGGTGTCCGCTACATGAATCCTATTGTCAATCTGCTCTATTTAAAGTCATATCCATTGTTAAATTATTAGTGCTTAAATCATTTCTTACTACTCATGCCCATGGTGCAATTACTCCAACAAGGGCTCATTTGTTAATTGGTCAATGTGGAACTTCCAAGCATTCTTTTGCATGGAAATGTAGGGTCCCGGAAAATTGAACTAAACCTCCAATAAATCTTTGAGCCACTTTTCCGAATAAGTTTTGCCTTTCTTCGAGGAGGGTAAATCACTTACCCATGTAGGAGGAAAATTAGCTAAACTATTGTAGAACTAAAATGTCTCTGCTAGCACAAAAAAGTAGGAGATTTTTTTAGGCTGTGTTTGGTTGTGCACTGATTTATGGCAGTGCAAATGATTTGAATGTAAATTCTGATTTATTTTTGTTTCAAAATTTGTTTGATTGCAGTACGAATGAAGTAAATTAAGACATGAAACAAAATAAAATAAAACCCAAAACAAAATTAAATGAGAATTTGCATTTTTTTTTCATTTGCACTCTCACACGTTTGTACTAGTGCAAATAAAATTGCACTGCAACCAAATACAGCCTTAGGAAATTGACTTATTTACCCAGTTAACATTTCCGGAGAAACAAGCACAGGAAACAGGTAAATGCATTTACCACACCAGGTAAGGGTGTTAATGGACCAGTGTTGGATTGAACGCCATTCAGTCCAAAATCAATTTAGATCGATTGGACGAACCAACAAGACATTGGATTGAACCAATCCAATCCAAAATATTTACTAGATTGGATTGGACCTGGTCCGTCCATAATGAATAATAAATTTATATTAGATTGGGTTGGATAAAACCAATATATGGTCCATTAATATAAGAATATAGGTGTCAATGAACCGGGTTTGGATTGAAAATAAAACCAATCTAAATCAAAACAAATTTGAACAAATTGAAAGGTCAAGAGTCAAGACATTGAACTGGCACAGTCCAAAATATTCATTGAATTGGATTGGACATGGTCTATTTATAATGGACTCACATCGGACTGAATTGGATTGGACCAAATCCAGTCCAATTGACACCCCTACCACCAGGAAGTGTAAACAACTCAGCAAACATAGGAGGCATAAAAACAAGGAACGTGTAGATGTTCTCTGAGGTGGGTGCAAATATAAGACGATGTCATCATCTATGACTTTAGACATGATTATAGATCAAGAAACCCTAAATGAAGATGAAAAACCGGAGGCCATGGGAAGTACTTGTCCTTCACTCCTTCCAACTTTCCAAGGTTTATACAACTATACTCAAAACTCAATAGTAGAAACTACTGATTTGGTTATAAAACATTAAAACTATCATTTTTTTAAACAAGGCAATCATGGTAATTTCCCCAAGTAACAATTAAAGTAACTCTAAATCTAATGTACCAACAAGAGAGACAGATCCTGAGATCAGTCTACAACTCCTGATATTTCCAAACACTTATTATTTTCCATAAAAAATAAGGCACTGTTGCTTGTGGCATATCATACATAAACAAAACAACCCCAGGAAGGTCCTACCGAGCACTAGGCTTCTCGATAAGCATCTTTGGTCCACATGCATCTAACCCTACTAATATCTCTCTTAACACAAATAAAACACACAGATACGTGAAGAGGAAAAGAATTATATAAACCTATTTTCAACCTCCAACTTGTACCACCAATAAAATCTATATCATTTCCTACTTGTTTTGTGGAAAATGCGGTTGTCCCAAAAGAGGAGAGGTTCTGATTGAACAGCTTCATTAGGTGGCAACTGATCTAATAACCCAGATATGTAAGACTGCAACCATTTCATATTGCTTCGAATTCCTCAATTTAATTGCTACCATGAAGCTCTCTCTACTAAAGCAGCATACCTCTCCGTATGGACTAGGTGAAGAAAACCAAAACAAAGAGAACAATGAACAGAACTACCAAAAACAATATCATCATAATCTGGCCCTTGGCACTGGCCTTCTTCATAACCATAGCCACCTTCTTCTGCAAAAAACGAGAACTTCCCTTCCATTAGTTTACTAATCATTCAAGGAAATAAAGAAAATTTTTATCTTCACTTAATTAGGTTTGACCTTAATGCATAAAATCTGAAATGATGTACAAGAAGACCAACCTGAACAAAATCAAGACGATTTGAAGTACTGTCCATTTCCAAGCTCAAATCCTGTATGATCTTCTCCTGTGGTGCCAAAAATGACTACTAATTAGTATGAGTGACAGAAAACAGTAAAAATGAAACAACTAAATAACAACAACAGCAATAGCAATAACAATAACTACAATCATGAGACCAACAACAATGATCTTTATGGTGGTGGTGATGGTGCTGAGAGGACATGTGAACACCAAGGATATAGCCCAGCATAATAAATGTTAGAGGAAACCATCCAATTCTTGTCATTCTTCTACATTGGGGTGTTCAAATTTGGTTGATAAACTGAAAACTGAACTGAACCAAACCAAATAAGCTAGTTTGGTTCAATTAATTCGGATATTGGTTCATTTCGGTTTTTGTTTCAGTTTGGTTGAGATTTTCAACCAAACCGAACCAAAAACTGAATTAGTGGCTGTATTTAATTAAGTATATTAAATATATAATATCCTATTCAATACTTTATACTCATTAATTAATCATTATTATCTTTTCCAATGGACAAAGGTCAATTCTCAATTCCCCATTGTGCTTTGGGCAGTTGGGCCTATTCCAGCCTGTAATGAATAATAGTTAAATAACCTAGAGACTCTAAACAACTAGAGTATTAAAATCTAGACTGATTATTAATTATTCATTAATTGTTTGTGAAGAATGATGTAATTGCTTTAATAATTAGTCATTCAACTGTTCATTAAATGACTGTAGTTGTATTAATTGTTCATTAAAACCTAGACCAAAGATTAATAGCTAATTGTTCATTAATTATTAAAGCCGAACTGAATTCGGTTAGGGTCGGGTCGGTTCTAAATTGTAGTCCAGTTCATTAAAACCTAGACTAAAGATTAATAGCTAATTGTTCATTAATTATTAAAACCGAACTGAATTCGGTTAGGGTCGGGTCGGTTCTAAATTGTAGTCCAGTTCAGTTCAGTTGGGCGAGATGGTCAAACAGAATAGTCAGTTAGGTCTTCGGTTCTAACCAAACCGACCGATTGTACACCCCTACTTCTACATCTCAAACTTTATTACTTCCTTTTTCTCCTTAGAATAGTTATCATATCAAGCTACTAGCAAAAGGTGTCATGCTAGGCTAAAGAAAACGTATAAAACAAGCTGGTTGGTGACAAAGGTCAAAGGTGATCAACTCTACAAAGAAAAAAACTATAAATCAAAGAACGGGTTAAATAATTATGCTTTCCATCTATCTCTGAAACAGAAGTCAACAGTTAACACCCTTGAAATTTTTTGATGTTTCCCAAACAATAGCATATGTCCTGTACAAGTAAAGAAACTACAAGCATCTGAATTCTGGAAAATAATGGATTCATAAGCAGTCTATCTGGTGAACTATGGATCTATAGTTTCTGAAGACCTGTCCAAGAAGTTCCTCGTGTATGGTAAGTCCTACATTGCCAATTCTCTCCACACTTGAACTAAGCTCATCCAGCTCTTCATCTTGCTGCCTGCAAAAGACCAACATTTAAAAATGCAGAGGTGTGAAGCAAGGCACCCCAACCTTTGGATGTGAGAGGCTTAAGCTTCATGAGTTACAATGTTGTTAGGAAATATAAAGCATGAACAAGAGTACATTATATAAATAAATAGCTGCTTGTATAAAACAAGAACTATAAAATGTTTTTTTTTGTTAGTAAAAACTATAAAATTGTTAGAAGCTTACAAATCATTTAATACCTATTAAAAAGATTTAAGTGTAAAACAATACTTCTTTAAATAAGTTGAAGCATAAATATAATCACAAATACATATAAATACAAACACAAAGATACATCTCAAATGCATGGAAAATTGGCAATTGTTTCAAAAGGCATGACTAGAAGTGAGGCTCATTTTGTGTGGTGTACCTCACCTGGCTTGTTGATATGCTTTGATGCACTAACCTTGAATTTGATGTGTGAATTGGTAATTTACAATGTCATATGTTGTAGATATGAGTATTAAAGTTCAAATAATTTAAACTATATGGAATTGAGCCTACAAGTCTACAACCTTCATGTTAATAACAAGTTGCTTTAGCCAATTGAGCTATCGGAATTTATTTCTTTCTTTCAAAATTAAGAATTGATTATTGTTATATAATAAGTTTTTCTTTTACTCTTTTTCTCACAAGATGCACCTCCCTTCATGCAGACAAAGACCTCACTTTGCCTGAATTCAGGTGCACCTCACCTGGCTTGTTGTAATTTTTCATGAATTAACCTTGAGTTTGATGTCGAATGCATAGTTTACCATATTGTAGGTTGTGTATATGGTGCTTAGAGTTTAAACAGTTTAGCTTATGTAGGACTTGGGCGTACAAGACTACAATCCTAGCTTATGTAGGATTGGAAAACAATGGTTGGGATGCGGGATTCGACCCTAGGGCTTCTTGTTGTTCTCCTTAGAAAGTGATTCACGTTATTTTGCCTCATATTCTTCTTTATTTTAAATTTGATGCCTGAGCAGGAAACAAAGTGTTATTCTGGGAAGATGTTTGGGTCTATCTTTCAAAAAAGAAAAGAAGTTTGGGTCGGAAAGAGTCCCCTTAGTGATAAGTTCCCTTCTATTTATTCACTCTCAGAGAATTAAAAAAAAAAAGTGATCTCTTCAGTTTTTATTGATAACTCATGGGACTTGGGTTTGAGAAGAGGGCCAAGGGAATTGGAAAAGGAAATGTTGGATGAACTTGTTGCTCTTTTAGGGTTGACCTATTTGGGTCAATCTTGTTCAAATAGTAGAATTTGGAAACCTTCCCCGTCTGGTATATTTACTTGTGCCTCTTTCTATAATGTTCTTCTTCAGTCAACTAATTCTGTAGAGAGTCTATACCTCCAAAAATTAGGGCTTTTTGCTGGGAGGTGGTATTCCAAAAAGATCAATACTTTGGATGTGTGTTGCAAAGAAAGAGGCCAACTTTTTGCCTCTCACCCCATGTTTGTATTCTCCGCTTGGGTTCTAGTGAGACAATCATACACCTATTAATCCCCCGTCCTTTTGTACTCTTTATTTGGACTTGGTTTTCCTTTCTCTTTGGATGCAGGTGTGCACCTCCCTTGGATGTGGTGAGCCTATTTAACCCAAGTTTTTTCAAACAACCGAAGAGGCGTGGAAGAGTTATGTGGAGAGCAACAAGAGCAGCTATTCTTTGGTTACTTTTGGAAGAAAGAAATAATAGGATCTTCAATGGAGTGGAGAAATCCAAGGATGAAACTGTTGAAAGAATATTTTTTGGTGGTAAAATAAAAAAGTAGTACAACCATCCAAGTGATAAGACATCACCCAAAGCGAAAATACAATCAAGAAAACAACTAGAAAATTGCTAGCTCATCAAGAATCTTCCAAATTACATAATTGGACCCCAACACTTCCCCCAAATTATCCCCCAGATCCCCCCTATAAACTTGACTGAAGTCTGGTAATAGCAGCACCCATTCAGCAACAGATTTGCTTATTGCCGAAACCAGTCTTTCCATTGACCAAGCTTTATCTTCTTTTATTGATTTCACCCACTGAATGACCCTAATGGATATTGAAAGAATATCCATTAGGGTTGTTAGTGTTGACTGTATAGGGGTAGTAGGGGCACAACAGACCTTTTGCTTTTCATTAGAAAAGTATAAATACAATCTGGCTGACTAGGGAGAAAATAACTCTCTCTAGTTCGAACCAGTTTTTCCTTCTCCTCTCTTCTCTTCTCTTCTCTTCTCTTCTCTCTCTATCCTTATTAGTTTTCTGCTACTGTTATTTCTTACTGAATTCTAGTGCAAGTCTGAAATTTATCATGGTATCAGAGCGACTATGACAAATTCAGATCTGCCCAGAATTCTCTGTACCGCCATTCAGCCTAGGGTTTTCCAGATTTTTGCATCATCGATTGGAGACAAGGAAAAGGGCTGAAAAGGAGTGATTGCCCTTTCCTTTTGGTGGTTTTCATGCCTTCAGTCGGTGGTTTAGTAGGTGTTTGTGGTGGTTTGTAGGGAACCCTCTAATCAATGGTACGAAGAGGGTTGTTTCAGGTGGTGCAGTGGACAGTCGAGTGCAGGTTGTTTCTTTGCTGATCAAATAGGTGGATTGTTTGTTTGTTTCAGTGTGAATCGAGTGGTTGATGAGTTGCTATGTTGAAGTAGGTTTATGGTGCTGAGAACGAAGAGTATCAACAACTGTTGTTGCTGAAAACCATCACTGTAGGTGTTTCCACTAGTGTGTAGTGTGGTGAGAAGTGAATTAGAAGTGTGATATACAGGTGAAAAAAAAAGAGGAAGAAAAAAATCAGATATGGGAGACAGTAGTGAATACATATCTAATGTCATGGTTCCCACTGATTACCTGAATGTTCAGATGTCCTCTATCAAATTGAATAGGGAAAATTATGTGCCTTGGGCAAAATCTGTAGAGGTCTTCCTTAGGGCCAAGAAAAAAGTGAAGGATGTAAGAGAAGAAAAACCTCCCGCTGATTCTCAGGAGTATAGTGATTGGGAATAAGCAGATGCACAGATTATGACCTAGTTGTGGAATAGTATGGAACCCAAGATCAGTGTGAATTTTATGTTCTTAGATACAACCAAGGAAATTTAGGACCATGCCAAGAAGCTGTACACGGGACAAGACAACACTACTAGAGTGAACCAGCTTTATCAAGAGTACTTTAATCTGCAACAAGGTAGCCAAAGTCTTGAGGAATACTATGCTAGCATGAGGAACCTTCGTAATGAGTTGAATGTGTACCATCCCCTCACTTCCGATGTTAAGATTCAGCAACAACAGAGAGAACAACTAGATGTAACCAGATTTTTAGTAGGGTTGAAACCTGATTATGAACCAGTGAGAGCACAGATATTAGGTGGGTCAGCTCTTCCCTCTCAAGAAGAGGTGTTTGCCAGACTTCGAAGGATTTCTATTGGACCTACAGAGACTTCAAATATCTCTGACAGGTCTGCCTTTGCAATGACAAGAGTGGGAGGTCGTGGAGTTAGAGGTGGATCTCGGGAAGTTCAGCCTAGTTGTAGTGGTGGTAGTGGACCCATGTATGGTCGTGGTGGTGGTGGTGGACCCATGTAAAGTCATAGTGGTGGTGGTAGACGTATTGGAGGTCGAGATTCAGGGGGAGTTCGTGGCGAAGGACGTAGTAATGGTCCGAGGAAGTGTACACATTGTGGTATGGAAGGGCACACCATCAACTTTTGTTATGATTTGCATGGCCTAACTTCAACTTGAAAAAATCATGCAGTGGCCAGTGATAGTAGTCCCAGATAGGAGAGTCAAGAAGCTGATCAAATGCCTTCTACATCTACGGATGTTTCTGGGAAGGAGATGACGAGTGTCCCACTTGATGAGTACGAGCGGTTTATTCAGGCCACGTCTCAATAGAATACAGCTACCCTCGCACACTCAGGTATGGCGTGTTTGGCATCCAAACCCAACCCTTGGATTATTGACTCTGGAGCTTCCGATCACATGACTAGGACTCTAGGTGTGTTTTCCTCCCTTTCTCAATGCTCCACATCACACTTTGCTACCCTAGCTAATGGTTCCACATCTTCCATTTGTGGTGTTGGTAAAATTCACATAGACTCTTTATCCCTGTCCTCGGTTTTGTATGTTCCTAAATTCCCTTTTAACCTTATGTCTGTTAGTAAGCTAACCAAGTCTCTTAATTGCTCTATCACTTTTTACCTTTCTTCTTGTGTTTTTCAGGATCTCAAGACGGGGATGAAGATTGGTGGAGGACATGAAGCTAGTGGACTATATTATCTTGACAGTGGTGGTGGTTCGTCAACAGCTCTTCAAACATCTCTTTCTCCTCTTCAGTGGCACCGTAGACTAGGTCATCCATCGCTTAAAGCACTGAAGTCACTTGTTCCGTCATTGAGTCATCTTTCTATTTTGGATTGTGAATCATGTTAGTTGGGGAAACATCATCATGTTCCCTTTAGTCCTAGGGTTGATAATCGTATGCCAAGTCCTTTTTCTTTAGTTCATTCAAATATTTGGGGACCATATAAAATAGTGTCATAAAATGGTTACAAATACTTTTTTTTATCAATAACGGAAACTTTATTAATTAAGTGAAGATTTGTGAAGCTTTAGATACAATAAGGGGGAGATAAAATGTCTTAGATCCCCATCAACAAAATACAATGAAAAGAAATTAAAAATTAGCCCAAAAGACAGACTCCCTATTCACCCCTTGTTTGGCTAACCCATCTGCAAATGAATTAGTGGTCCTCTTCACCCAGTTGTATTGTATCTCAATGTCCCTACACAACCATAACAATTTTTTCTTTTCATTGTTATAGCTCCACGAACCACTGTCCTCTTTCTTCAACCAACTAATCACCACCTTTGAATCACCTTTCAGGATCAAACAATTGATATTTAGTTCCCTTGCTCTTTGAATTCCTTCCAGAGCTACAAGGATCTCAGCCCTAAGTGAGTCTCCTTCTCTAATAGGGCCTGAGAACAAAGC